AATATGAATCATGATTAATTGATGACCCTGGGCAGGATTCAATTATAACATAGGTCCCTTTTTCTTTTTTTGAGGAAATCATATCTTTGATGTCTTTTTGCTTTATATTGGCAGTATTGGCAAGTAAACAGCACAACATTGCTTCATATACTAATGATATTTATCAGCCACATTGACAACTTATAAGCACTGCACAGAGCCTGGGCAGGATTCAATTATAACATAGGTCCCTTTTTCTTTTTTTGAGGAAATCATATCTTTGATGTCTTTTTGCTTTATATTGGCAGTATTGGCAAGTAAACAGCACAACATTGCTTTCATATACTAATGATATTTATCAGCCACATTGACAACTTATAAGCACTGCACAGAGCCTGTTCAATTTTCAGTAGTCGAGGAAAGGACCTGACACATGAGATGAAATTCTCCATCATCAGGGTTTATACCAAAATCTCCAGATGCTTCAAGAGATACATCACCATACTGACCACTTGCATTGTGCAAGAATATTCTTTGTCCACGGAAACATAAACTAGCGGTTACTTCCTGCACAAGGGTACAACAGCAAATGACAATATAGTCCAACCAGCCACTTAAGGCCCCTCAAGAGATACATAAAATAAATAAAATATTTGGTCCAAACAGTTCATTAATAACTCGAATTCCACCCTCGGTAATTTGACTGGACTAATGGATGCTATATTTCAAACTGCAGAACCGTTCACCTAAAAATTTTAAATAGTCTGGGCATGTAATAAACTTAAAACATAGACTATAAATGCCCTAAAGATGTTAGATGCGCAAAAAAGAAGCATGCATTCTGCATGAGAAAAGATATCTGCATTTAGGGGGCTGTACTTGGTGATTGAAAAGAAAACCATTGTCATTCCAAATGATAAGCAGAGATGGTTCATTAACCATAGATAACTTTAATCACCAAACAATTATTAAAAACACGTTGTTTAGCAATCACCCAAATTGATTAGGAATTGTCGGATAAGGGAAGTACAGTAAGGAAAGCACAGAAGGCATTATCCGACAAGTACAGTAAGGAAAGCACAGAAGGCTGGGATGGTAAGTGAAGGGGAGAAAAAAATATAAGGACCCGGAAGACTATTAGAGGCATACAAGAAGATGAAAGAGAAGTTTAAGCTTTGTTGTCCGTAATGGAAGAAGGCATGTTGAATCGACAGATGGTGTTGGATGTCTCTTAATTTCACTTTTCAAGGATGTCATAAGATGGAAGAATGTTACTCCAAACAAAAACAAAAAAAACCACTCAGATACTTCCTCTCAAATGTTCTAACCCAAGGACAGTCGACCACCATGGCAAATCACCAAATCCATTTCCCTGAACAATGCCTCAATCATCAATCACAATTTCCTACTGACCAATCTGCCACTAGCCTTAGGTCGAGATGGAACCATTTCACCAAGTGATACTTATGATTATACTGTATGTCTTTCAAAACATTACAAAACAACCCCCAAAACTCTTTTACCAAGAGTAACCGCGCTTGTGACCAATGAAAAATTAAATCCTGGTCTCTATAAATCAGCAGGTCAATATTCTTCAAGATTCAAATAACCTCAAACCCAATTATTTAGATAATTTCCAAGAGATCAATTCCTCCTCTATCTTTTAGCAAAATCTTTGAGCTTCAGAAGTTGGTGTTAGTAGAATTTTTATTCATGCTACACTCCCAAAAGCAACAATGTATCATGCGACCAGAATATGGAAAACAGAAACAGTACATATCTTTCTCCATAAGGTCGGTAAAAATAGAATGTTCTCGACAATCATTTTGAGTTCCTTCTGCACCGAATGCAATCATAAAATTCCATTGGTCAAGGTTTCAATAAGCTAATATATGGGTATTCAAGAAGTTAATAGGCAGAGGAAAATCATGAATGGCTTCCCAATGGTTTGTTACAGAGATGTACAAAATTTGTATTAGATGCGAACAAGTATAGGATAATCAATAGTCATGTACAAAGGATATGCAATCAAAGATATGAAACTTCAAAATATCTGAGAACCAGATATGCATTTTGCACATACTGAGAAAGACGAGGTAGCATCCAGTATCTGAAACTCTAATCCATTCACATCAAGTTGCCCATGAACATTGGGAAAATTCTCGCCTTTTGACATGCATATGTGCACCTGCAAAAAATTGATGAACATTGAATATAAGAGGAAAAGGAAATGCTTATACAAAAGAGGAAAGATAATTACAGGTCACCATCGTTAGAATCAAGACCTGACTGATATTCGATAAATAAGCATTCATAATTATTACTCATAAGTTAAAACTTGGCCAAGTCGACTGGGACTCGGCAAGTTACTCCGACTTGGCACCTTGCTGAGTAGAGCCCTGGGTAAAAACTCAGGCGTATAAAGAAAATATTTAAAATTATATTTTTTACTACACCAATGTATAAAAATAACTATATATAATTTTGATTTTTTGACGATGATTTGTGAGTTTTTCTAATCACGTGCTCGATTTTTCTATTTCCACTTCCTTTGGAATGTTCTGAATTTTTCCAGCTATAAATAATATTTTTCAAATTCCATATTTTATGTATTTTTTTTCATCAATTTTAGACTTTTAATGTTGTTTATAGTCTAATTAGCTTTTTACTATTTTTTACAATTAATAACTTTTTTGTATTTTTTTTCCAATTTTTTAGCCCCTTTTGGGCATCTACATTACTTAGGCAAGTCCACTCGGACTCGCTGAGTTACTCAGCTCGGGCAGGAGCTGTCCTGAGCCCTAGCTGATTTTCTGCACACTGTTCCAAACGTAAAGCCCACTGCACCAAGTCCACATGGAAGCAAGTGCAAAGACTTCTCGCTCCAAACATCATACCAGAACCTAATTTTGCCATCATTCATCCACCATAAAACCGATCATTGATCTGAAAACAAACCCCACTGCACCAATACCCTTCACAATCCAGGGGTATAGCCAACCTATGTAAAGTTTTAGCAACGCAATTGCCCTACCTATCCACTCTTTGATATCCCAGCTTAAAAACTTACAAACTACCACGTGTAACAATGAAGTGGCAATGCCGCTTACTTGGAAGTGCATTTCTCACCATTATCTATTGGCCTCAAATATACACTTGGACAGACACATCCTCATTTAGACGGGTATAAGCAATCAACACCGTGCAATGTACAAGCACATGATGAGAGCATGATGGTTATCTATTTGAAAATAAGATACCTAGCATAAAGAGTTTAATTTTTAGAAGGAATTTTTAAAAATTATAAATTTTCAAAAGAAACTGCTTATGAAAGTACTTTATGTCTTAACTAATATGGTCATTAAGAAGGAGCATTCATCAAGGAAATCCCAGTATTTTAAACAAGGGTATCATCAAATTCAAAATAGCATACAAAGGAGTCATATTTTTAGGGAATTGACTTATTTGAGAAAATTCATGGCAGGAACAAGATCTTGCATGCACACGCATTTTAAACTTGCATCCAGTGATATAGTATACATGTACAAATGAAGTACAAAAGTACAATAAATGACTAAAATAACAAGACTAGCCTTATTCTACAACAACTCTTCTTCTTTTTGAGAATTCAACAATTCTTATTTTCCAAGTCTGTTATAATCCAACAACATGAAATCCCGTTATGGACATAGAAGGCCAATGATGAAAATCTGGCAGGGGTTGAAGGAATGAAGGATTTGGAGGCCAGGACCTGAATGGAAGTGTTTGAGCATCTCGTCATCAGTATCAGCCATTATCCATTAAAACCTCCTTTCATTTTTATTACAATATCAGAATCTATTTTCCAAGTCTGTTATAATCCAACAACATGAAATCCCGTTATGGACATAGAAGACCAACGATGAAAATCTGGCAGGGGTTGAAGGAATGAAGGATTTGGAGGCAAGGACCTGAATGGAAGTGTTTGAACATCTCGTCATCAGCCATTATCCATTATAACCTCCTTTCAGTTTTATCACGATATTAGAATAAAACAATTAATTACGGATGAAAATATAGAGCATAGCAATTAAAAAGTAAAACAGAAATGAAGTTATCACTGAATAATCATTATTCATGCTTCATGCTTCATTAGTAGTTAGAACTTTATGATGCCTGAGAACTAGTTAGTTTATTTTTTATCTTTTGATTCGTGTGCCTTGGAACTGACAAGAACAACAAAAAGGCAGAGAAGATCAATGAAATGATATTTAATATAGCACATAGAAGCGAAAGTCTAGAAATCACCTCACCACTAGCTCTTCCCTTCGACCATGTAATTGGAATTTCCAAAATCCTTTCAAAGAGCTGGAGAAGCAAAGAGCCAACATTACAGGAGACAAGTCAGAACACATACATAAAATGCACAAAGTAAACAATTTTATACAAACGAAAATGCTAAGCAATATGCTTTAAAATGCTTGATCTACCTTAGGAAGCAAGATATGAACGCTTTACCGGAACATGGAGATTTGCAATCTTTAGATTGGCATGCCAATTTTGCTCAATGCTGTCAACAAACACATCTGCCAAAAGCCACCCACCTTCACTAAGAGACAAACCAGTCCTCCACTCCTTACAGCAACCACTCAACTGCACGTGGGCACGCCCATAATGCTTTTGAAATTTTACATGCCCTTGGACATTTTCCATTTCTCTAGCAAGGAGTTAATGAACACATACATATCAAGAACATTCGATAAAAGAAATGGTATCTGCGATAATCAGAACAAACATCTTTCCTCAACTTTTCCAGCATAGTAATAGGATTTGCATTAAGAACAGTGCTTTTCTCAAGCAAGACAAGTTCTTGTATTGCCAATTTGAAGGAATGCAAACACTTTCAAGTGTGACAATCGTCATATGAGAACCATATCCATTTGAAATAAAGTTGACATACAACCATACAGCATAGTAAACCTTTCATGCAACTAGATGTCTAGAACTTCCAAAGAAAAGTAATATTTAGATTGAAACCATGTTACATTATAAGAAAATTATCAGTGGAATATATGCTTAAGATTTTTCAAGAGTTAAACACCAAAAGCTTGAATTTGGCTCCCCAACATTTAAGAGATGGTAAGAGTCTACCATTTGGAGCCTTTTTTCTTTTTCTTTTTTTTTCTTTTTTTTCTTTTTTCTTTTTTTTTAACTAGTTAGTTACCATGTGGAACAAGTTGAACACGTAATGTAACATTTTGGTGTTCATTGAAAATTAAAACAGAAAAAGATCCCAAGCAAAGTACATACCTAGGTTCCTGATCACCATATCCTAAAAGCATCAGTGTTCCCCCAGTGAAGTACACAGAATCTAAAGCGACAGGGAGCCTATTATGAATACCTCCCATATATCCTTCATCTAAACCATCAGCAAACTCAGTGGCAAGCTGTTCAGTATTAATCTTCAAAAATGTTCTGCTCTTTTCAATGCAGTTAGCCAAATAATGATCAACCCATGATGTAGTGGCTCTGGACCAAAACCCCAACTGAAACTTCTGGCTTAAATAAGAAATGCTCATTGTCTGGCTTGTTTTTGTAGGCGACTCTAACGTCACAGGAGCTGCTTTGGATTTCATGGCAGCATCAGATCGAGATCTTTCTGCAAGAGTCTCTTTCGCTGATCTATCGACACTGTTAGTGCTAGATTTATCACTGTTTAGATTAGTATTAACCCCACTTACAAACTTTTCACGTTTTTTATCAAGTGGTAAGCCATTCCTAGACTTATCTGATCGACCAAGAGATCGAATAGCCATAAAAAATGGCTCATATATAGGAACCCTTCGAAATGTCTCACTGCAAATAAATTTGTCCATATCAATTGGCTGATTTTGAACTACATCAGGTTCAGAACTGGTTGTAGCTGGTCTTGGTAACTCAAATTTCTCAATCATATTGTTCGAGTCCAAATCAGGAGTTACAGATGACTTTTGTTCAATATCTGTAACCCCTGTTCCAGATGCATTTGAATTATCTGAGCCATCAGAATAAGAAACACTAGAACGAAACCCCCCTGTTCCAGATGCATTTGAATTATCTGAGCCATCAGAATAAGAAACACTAGAATGAATCCCCTCTTCAGTGGCTGTTTCACTGTTGCCCGCACTAGACTTCCCACTAGCCATTCTTTGAAAGTAGGCACGAGCAGCTGCTGCACTTCTATCAAGGTTTCTCCTTTGCACTACCAAATTCTCCAAAGAAACACATTTCTTCCTAGCCTTTTTCCTGAACCTGCGTCTAATAGAATCAGGCATCACACTTGAACGCCTCAGCCCTTCGGGTGAATATTTAATCCCAAAAGATTTCTCCAAGTCCAAATGTTTTAATCCATACCTATAATCAAAAGATCCATCTTCCATGCACTGATGATCCTTTGTACCCATTCGCCCGGCTACCTTATAGAATGAAACCGGATCCCAAGCTTGTCCTCCATAACTAAATTTACCATTCAAATTATTGTCAGTATCAGGACACAAAACCATGGAATCATCTGGTTGTGACAAAACATAACCTAATTCTGCCGCTTTTTTTGCAGCCAAAACCCTCTCTTGCGCCCACTTAGCTGCTGCTTCTTCCCTAGAAATCCTTCTAACTTTTGTTCGATAATCCAATCCTTCTTCATCTGATCGATGCCTTTGAAACCCATTTTCAGAGGGGGCTGGAATACCTAGCCATGAAAAGTCCTCTTTCTGTGAAATTAAAATATTAGGTCTGGATAGGATAGCATCAACGACAAACTTTCCCTTTCTAAGACTCGCGAAGGGGTGAATTCGAAGCTTTATGGATGGCATCTCCCCGCACGAGAATTCATCACTATGAGGCCCAACTGAACATGAGTGTAAGCTCACACTCAAGGGAGACACAAGTTTAACTTTACCAAGATTAACCTCCCGTTGAAGATAATCGCTCAGCGTCAAAGAAACAGATGGTAAGAGTCTTGCTTCAATGTAGGCACGAGCCCTAGTTTGAGCATACCACACCATTATTGCCATGGCAGAAATTACAGTGGCAAAAACTGAGCACCGGAAGAAGAGCAATCCCTCTTTCCATATTGGAAAGAAAGACATGATTACATTTCTCGACCTACCAAAAGGATCCCTAAAGCAATCCAATCGAAACTGGTTTTTTAGTGGTGAACTCAATGGCGCTAACCCTTCACCAAATCTAGACATCGTCCTGTGAAAAAAAACCCTCCGAAACCCAATTCTACCATATCTCTCTCTGGATTCGGAGACAACCGGTGCCCCTATCGAAAAAACCTTAGTTCTCTGGTTTCTCTGGAACCTGTAAGCAGAACAGCCATTTTCGCCAGAGTTTGGAGAACTTCGAAGAGGAAACCCAATAATTGAGCTCTGCAAATGCCCTATGCTCATCATACAATTGAGAACCACCGAATCGCGAATTACAGGGGACTAAGGTTTGAAGCTCAGTCCCCTGCATGAATTCAAACTGAAAGAACCAATCCCCTTATGGAAACAGAAACCCTAGCTTCAGAACACTGAACAAGCACAAAACCGTCGGTTTAGGGCAAAAAAACCCCTAGGTTTAGAGCAAAACCATGGAAGCAGATAGCCATTTCTCTAGGGAAAAAGACGAATCGAGTTCCGGAACAACACAATGAATTATGCTATGGAAAAAGTAAGCTCGAATTTGAACAGAGTGTGGAGAGTAGATTAATGGGAAAACCCTAGAAGACGGGTTCCTCTGAACTCGAACAAGAAAAAGGAGGGAAATGGTGAAAAAGAGATTCCAAACTTGTGGGATGCAAAAATGATGAGAGAGAAAATCAATGAGCAAATTACCACCATTTTTTATTTTCTTTTATTGTGTTTTTTTTTTTATGCTAGGGCGACACACGTGTCCTGCGAGAAGATTAAGGGGCCCACGATGACCTGGGCGCGTTACATACTGTAGTTTTGTGAATCAGTTATCAAAAGAGTGTTCTCTTTGTTTTTCACGGTGATTGATCGACCCAGCTATAAGAAGTTAAGATAACTTATCGACTTCTCATATTAAAATAGCTAGATTCGAGTCGAAATCGCCAAGATTTGGATTCGGTGGTACCGTTTTGGAACTCCAAAATTGCCTCGATTTTCCTCTTCAAATTTTTTTTCTAAGTCTCTCTTGATTCAACTCATGAGCTGACCAAGCTTGTATTGAGATAACAGAAATTCCATTTTGTCATTCATTGTTTTAGTAATAATAGTAATAATTTTATAGGACCCTCCCCCACCTATGTTCCCAAATGATCACCATTAAAGTTTGTATGAATCTTTAGAAAAGTTATCACATGGGTGTGGGATTTGACTTTTTTATAAATCCATACCAAATTGAATGATGATCCTTTGGTGTCCTACACACATGGGTGGAGAGGGTCTTATGGGATCATTTATCTTATTGTTTTTGTAATTCTTTTTTTGGCCATTTCTTCTCAAGAATTGCCTCTATCGATTGGGTGAACATGATAATAATTGAACTTGAGATGTAAGTTTGCTATATGTCACATACTATCTACTGAAGTCCAAGCCCAATTTCTAATTCAATACCTTATTTTGACCTTGAAATTACTACATGTGAATCTTATAAAAACAAGTAAATATTAACTTAGGACTAATGAGAATGAAACTTTAGACATGGCACTTCTGCCTCGAATATGTTATCTATCTATATATAAGAAATTACAGATCTCTCTCATGCCATTCCCCGATCCGTACATCTCCCTGTCTCTCGAGCATGGGTGTATTTGGTACATGTATATATTTATGGAAAAGTATATAACTAGACATAAAAATGTCACAATCACTATTGACTATTAGATGTAAAATTAGAAGGAAGGGGATATGTGGTTCATTAGGCAGAAAACTCAAAATAAAAATTCTTAAATAGTATACCATATTCAAAATGTCGAATTTCACATCTAGTGGTTAAGGATGATTGTGACCTCCTCGTACTAAAAATGAATGATCCCGTACTAAAAGTGAATGATTATGTAGCATACAATCCCTATATTTTGTCTTTTTTAACTACTTGTCCAATAAAAAGAAAAAAGGCTAGCTACATGATTTTGTGCTCTCACATAAGCATATTGTCCATTTATTCTCTCGGATAAAACATATTCACAAGTATCTTTAGGATTTCAAATTTTACCGATGTAACGTATTCAATCTAAAAACTAACATAAAAAAGAACACAGAAAACTGAATATCACATTTATGTGCTTGGAACAAATAATAACCTAAGGTTGTACATGTCCAATTTTTGGAGGGAAGATCTATGTTGAGAAACTCAAAATCTTAAAAAATATAAATAAATAAATTAAAAATGATTTATTGATTCTTAGGTAGATCCCAAAATTTAAGATTGAAAAGAAAAACCCTCCCAAATACGTCATTTGTGAGTGGGACTAAATATACAAAATGCTCCTCCTACATGATAGTATACGCACTAAATAGAATATCCTGTCACCCTCTCAATGGGTGCGTGTGGCCACATGTGTTTGTTTTTGCACGTGTGTATTTTTTATTAAGTGTTCGTTAGACGTTGTGCATGCCTCTCTTCTATCGACGGTCAAGATTCACGCATTGAGTACATCTCTAAATCAATGCCGTAGAAACGCAACAAACGTAACCCATAAACATACCTCTCTTTTACAGGTTAATTACAACCTAACAAACTTGGCTTAACTATCTTTAAAGTATGATTCATATGATCATGGTAACAGTATGATCATAATGGTTTTCACCTGTATTGTTTTGACTATGAAGTATGGGTCCCACCAAATATCCCAAGAATTCACTTATAGGTCCCACCACTAATCCATCACCATCCATTATAATAATTTGGACACGGTTTCTATGCGGCCAGCCCTCGTATTGTAGAGGTACAGGCTTGGCAATAAATATATTTTTTAAATATATTTCGATCCTACTTTTAGATAATATATAATCTTTAATATGGAGATCATGAATATGAGAAAAGAAAAAAGAAAAAGAAAAAAAAAACTATAAATAATAATTACATTAAGAAAACATTTGGAATGTTTAGTTACACTCATTTTGAAATTTAAGAGATAAGAATGATTGTGACATCCATGTACAAAAAATAATTAGTTTATTTATAGACAATATCATAAAACAAACTTATTGAGAAGTGGGTATTACACTTGTTTAATTAAAGGATGTAAAGTATGGGCCGGTCCAATGTTAGTAACCAATTTTATTTAATGATTTTGAATTCGAATGCGGCACATTTTTGGAGAATTAGACTGGTATACTCAAAAACAATGTTTTGGGGTGATCTAATATTTTTAATATAGAGTTGCTCCAAAAATAGGTTGATCCGATCTTTGAGAAATTGGACTGCCCTAGGAAAAAAATAAATAAATAAATAATGTAATTTCGGTACATATCACTTGCCCAAATGTAATATTCCATTTAAACAATTCTATTTATGTTAGGTTTATTTTTTAAAAGGGATGGTTCGATAAAGTTACAACCTTTCGGATTAAGAGCAAAATTGAAACAAAATAGGACATCCACAAAATTACAAAAGTTAGGGACCAAAGATGTAATTTTGGTACATATCACTGGCCCAATGTAATTTCCTACATAACGATTCCATTTATCTAAATTTATTTTTTAAAAGGAATGGTTTGAATAAGGTTACAACCTTAAATAATCAAAATAAGGTGCACCTCCAGATGTTATCATAACATGTAATGTTTGTGTCAAAAATTTTTAGGATGACTTGAGAATCTATTTTTATCTCTAATTATAAAAATTAAAATATAAAAATAATTTAGATCAATTCTTGAAAATAGATAGTCTAGATAATCTATTGCGAGATGCATTATTCTCAAAACTCGAAATCTTTTTCTTTTTCATATCTATACACCTTGATATCGAGATGATCAATTAGGAGATTTTCCATCTTCAAAACAATACTTTTCGATGGATTTTTGAAGCGCACCTTGATTCTACTGCTTAAAGTTGGAACCATATATAAATGTTTTCCCTTTTTTAAAAAATCTAGTCCATTGAGTACAACAGACCTCTCTTGGCAAATCCAATTCTATAACACGAATTTAAACTAAATCGTTGATTTCTCTTTTTCAAATATTTATTTGTTTATTCGCCTCTTCTGATATTTTTACGTGCAATGTACATAAATCCACTCAATAATTATGAGAGGAAGTGTTACATAAGATCTTGGCTCGAAATTAAAAAAGAGAAAAAAAAAAGAAATTTTGGCTAAGTTTCTACGCAATAAACAATAACTCTCACAGTGCTAGTAAGATGGACACTTTTTTTTACTATTTTAATTTTGTTATACACCAAACATTAATATGAACTTTGTCATTTTTGTAATATTTAATATATTATGCTTTATTTGATGTATATTTAAAATTGGCAAAATATCATTTAAGGTTTCATATCTCTTTACAAAATTTTCAAGAGATTAAAGCATCCCAATTAATATTCGAGCTTTTTTAAGAATTTCACCTACCATGAATAAGTTGGGGCATCTGATAATCAATTGTTAAATAGCCCTGCTTGTTCAAATTTTTCAACTCTGAAAATGGGCACTCTAGACATCTTCAGATTTTTTTTTTTTTCTTCAGGGAGTAAAAAATTTTAGAAGTAACTTCTCGTTGAATGCAAGGGTGGCAATGGAGCCGGACCCAACCCAGGACCCGAGGGGTAGACCTAATCAGAGTCTGGTATGAGTCCAAAAAATGGATCCGATAGGTCGGGTTAGGTCATGTCCAAATGTTGGATCCGAACACCATTCAAATCAAGGTTCGGGTCCGGGTTCGGCAAAAAATTTTGGGTCCCAATGTACAAAATATATTAAATATAGTTAAATATATAGATTTTCTAATTTTTGGGTCGCATCCAATTGGATTCGGTTGGGTCTAGGTCTAGGTCTAGGTCCCACATTACATTTTTGGATCTGAGTCTGGGTCTAGGCCCCACACTATATTTTAGGTCTGGGTCCAGGTCCCATGTCAATTTTTTGGGTCTTAATCTGGGTCTGGCTGGACTAGACACGACCCGTCGCACCCCTTGTTAAATGGGACCTAAGGGTTATAAGCCCTTTCCGTTGAATGATATATTTTCCCGTTTGAATTTATATTCAGTAATTTTAATACCGTTCAAAAAAGAATAATTTATATTTAGTAATTCTAATAAAAAAATTTATTCCGTAATGAATAATACATCAATAAAAGCAATCGCGATTTTATCGCCGAAATACTAATGCATAACAATCTTTTTTTTCGCGAAATTAATGCACAGCGATTATGAAGGAGGTTACCCCCATGTCTAATACAACATGCTTCTCTCTCTAAAATATTTTTCTCTCTAAACTCTCTCTTTAAAAACCACCACCTTATAAACTCTCTCTCTCTAAAAACCACCACCTTCCGAAAAGAATGATACGTCGCGACCAATATTCAACGTGTTTCTCTCTCTAAAAATCACCACGATCCAAAAAAAAATTGAAATTCCCGATATCTTGATGCTGATGTGGCATAAAGTTGTTGGGCCCACCCATCGGAACGTATAAAACCTTCTTCATTTTCTTTCTCACCAATTCAAAAGGACTCTCTCTCTCTCTAAACTCATGAGAGCTATCTCTACTTTCTCTACATCGCTAAACCCTTTCTCTCTCTCTAAACTTATACAAGCTATCTCTACTTTCTCTCTCCATCTCTAAACCTTACTCTTGTTTCTCTCTCTAAACTCATGAGAGCTCTCTAATTTCTCTCTCTATCTCTAAACCTTACTCTATCTCTATCTAGTTTCTCTCTCTAAACTCATGAGAGCTATCTCTACTTTCTCTCTCTATCTCTAAACCGTACTCCATTTCTCTCTGGTTTCTTGGTTCCCTGCCCTTCTTTTTACATTGCACCTCTGCCTTTTTGGTTCCCTGTTTCAGTAAAATCTTTCTCTCTCTAAATCTCTCTCTCTCTCTGCTTTTTCTTGGTTGTCTGTTTCAGTAAAATCTCTGTCTCTCTCTCTGCTTTTTCTTGGTCCTCAGTTCCGGTAAAATCTTTCACTCTTTCTCTCTGCTTTCTTTTCTTGGAGCATTACTTGGGTGGTTTCGTTTCTTGGAGCATTACTTGGGTGGGTGAGATGAGAATGCGCAGGTGCAGGGGTAATGGATGCTGGTTTGGAATAGGAGAATCCGTTGAGATATGCTCTCTCTTTCTCTCTCTAAGATGTTGAATAACATTAACCATGTTGAATTGCGCTCTCTCTCTCTGAGGAAGAGTTGGTCATCTGCAATGTTTTTTGTTAGTTATCTGTAAACTTTTGAAAAACCATGTAAGTTCTTTATATCCCTGTTGAAGCATTCTTTCTCTCATGGTTGGTTTCTCTCCCTGCAGAGGAGTCATTTATCTGTAATTTTTTTGAAATCCAGGTAACTTAGGTTTTACTCTCTTTCTTTCTCTATATCCCTTTTGAATTCTTTATATCCTTGTTGAAGCCTTCTTTCGTTTACTCTTGATTTCTCTCTCTCCCCCCCCCCCTCTCTGCTGAGAAGTGTTGTAGTTCTGCCCTGTTCTCTCTCTCTCTCCATTAACTCATAGTGTGGTGCAGAATTGCAGGTGACGAAGAAACGGAAGCAAGTCTCTAAGGATGGAGAAGGGTTTGAAAGCACAACGTGAATTGCTAGGAGGAATGGTTTGAGAACTTATGGAAATTCATCTCTACGTCGGTATGACTCGGATTCTGAAGAAGATCGGGTTAATGAAGAACAAGAAAAAGAACTCATATCACAAATCATAGGAAGTTACAGTGAGAGAGATGAAGACAATGAAATGATGGGTATTGTAGAGAGAGAACAATAAGAAACTCCATGGATTCCCGAAGTGTCCTCGGAGGTTGCGCGTGATGAAGTTGAACTGGGAGCTGAATATTGCCCTGAGGCCATAACTGAATATTTGAATCTAAAAAGCCAAAGGGGGAATAAAAGAGAACTCCTTCAAGAGACGATGAGGAAAGCAAAGATGCATCTCTTAGCATCTGGCTGGAAGTTGGAATGCATGTCGGCAACGACACTCCGCTACATTTCATCAAGTGGCATGGTTTATTACGGTCTCTATCGAGCTTGTATCGGATATAAGAGAGAAGAAGAACAACAACAACAACGTTCTACTCGTAGTTATATAGACCAGACATGCTCCACCATAGATGAACCCTGTCCTCCTAGCCTAAACTCTCCACTCAATTTTTCCTTTAACTCTGAAACTATAGAAAGAGATACTCCAAAGCTCCCCATCTTTATTAGCAGTTCACCTAATGGAGAATTAACTTCTTGTACTTCCACCATGGGCGTTGTTTCCAATGTTGAAATGGGAGAAGAAGGAGAAGAAAAAGGAGAAGAAGGAGAAGGAGAAGGAGGAGAAGGAGAAGAAGGAGAGGGAGAAGGAGAAAGAGAAGAAGAAGAAGGAGAAAGAGAAGGAGAAGGAGGAGAAGAAGGAGGAGGAGGAGGAGAAGGAGAAGAGAGAGAGGAGAGAGAGAGAGAGAGAGAGAGAGAGAGAGAGAGAGAAGAAGAAGAGAGAGAGAGAGAGAGAGAGA